CGGGCATGCTTCGAACATCGACTTGAGAAACATACCGTTTGGGGTCGTACTACGCGCGTGTTTTAGTGTACGTAGGGCGATGTTTCCAATGTTTAAGATTTACAAGTAATTAAGGCTCATTTGAATTCCTGGTATCGTTTTTGCTATTCGCTGTTCAATGCAGTCGACCTTCACTGACATAATGGGCCACGCAGGATTCGGAGCACGACACTGGTTGGTGGCGGGCAAATTAAGTAAGGCCATTGCTTCAGCATGTCCAGCCTGCGACACTGGAAGGACACTTAAAAACGATACAGTACAACACAGCTCGTCTTCACGGCAAGTAGTCATACCAGGAGAGCCAAAGTCAAAGCTTCTTCTGCCATTCCTGGGCAAATTCCAGAAGTTTGTGGAAGTTTTATATGAAAATGATGCAAATTAATTAAGGATACAAACTGTCTCCTTACCTTGTGACTTGCATTGGAAGTAGGGCAATGAGTACACCTGACTCAATCACACCCTAAAATATCAGGACTATTGGGCAAGTGGTTGCAACTTACCCTGGGGCCATACTTTTTTATTTCAGAACCAGCTGTAAGCATTCCAAGTATCATCAAGCATGAAGTTCTTGGTTTTAGCCAGTTATACTAAGTAACTTGGTAAGATTAGAACCAGTTATATCTGCTCGCAACAAAATAGCCTTCATGAATGGATACATGTTATTTGTTCAAACCACTCAGGAGAGAGGCTATAACCATGTACTTAGTGCATTTAAATCACCACCCCTGCAGCCCAATTTCATCAACAGTCTGTAGATTGTACATATTTATAACTGAGGTATCCTGGCATCCCATGCATGGCTATCATTTGCAAGCATTGATAGGAGCACCCTTGAAAGCACAAGGAAATTTTCTGTCTGGTTGGAGAAATACACCAATGACAGAATGTGCTGCAATGACTGTAGCATCTTCTGAGGTGAATTAGGGCATGCATTCTTTATGGAATCACCTCAAATAGGTAGGTCCAACATGCTCTTTAAGTTCATCTTGGCATTGGGTGCCACACAATCAAGAATATTGACTGTTTTCAACAATTGCACATGATAACATCACATTTTTGTCTTTTTATTGCATTGAGATCCTTTTTGAATATGGCTTTACTTTTTGCAACAACCTGAAAATGAATACTTGCAATGGATTCACAGAGTATAATGAGCTACACAATTGTCCACTATGGATACTCCTTTCAGCCGGGCTCTCTTCAGTGTTTGCCATAAAACCCCTAAAAGTATGCTGTATAAGCATATTTTCTGAAAAGTGAGCCTGCATGTATAATGGAAACTCATCAGCATCTGATAATCCCCCAAACGAGCTACACAGAGATTGCCAGATGACTCCGTTTTGGAAGACAAATAATGTAAGATCATTATAACAAAAATTCTATTTAAAAAGCGGGTAATTTTTCGACACACCAAGCTGTCACGACTGATACTTAGTGTGTCAAAATGTACGAGAATATCATCATAAGGAACACTGAAACAAAGAAAACGTCATAGAAGACGTAGTTATATTGTACCATATGGTAGGATTGGAATGGGGTGAGGCAGTCAAGTTACCAATTAAAAATGGACCGACGACGGCACAAACGGGCAGGTTATTTCGATGCAAAGACAGCTAAGGGATTATCGGCGGGCATGATGCAAACACTCAGCCTAGCCAGATATGATCAGTGGATGGGGACATCATGGGTCCTACTCACGTGATGTTCCGGGCCTTGTATTATAGCCGGGAATCAGCATCCAACATTTATCCAACAGCCATATGGCCGCATGGTAGGTTTGACATCACACGAAGATGTCCTGTGCCAACCCGCGTAGCTCGGAGCTCAGGCACCTCAACCGCTCACGGCACCGCCTCCCACCACCGGGCCGCGCCTCCAACTCGCCGATTTGGTGCAGACGGCAGCAAGCAGCCGTGGATGATTATTTACGGTGCGCCGTCTGTAGCAGAAGCGCCAAGATGAGAAATCCTTGATTGAATAACATTAATCTACAGTCACGAGTGTTTCCCACTCGTGTGCTTTGAATCATGTGGCTGACAACATGAAAATTTATAACAACCGACGGGCAATTCGTTGTCATCATGATGTTGGTTCCGTGCGCTCTGCATGCATGTCGCTGCTGATGTCTTACTCGCCGCCTGTATGTCTTTGCTTGTATCTGTTTTACACTGGCCTGCCTTTCCTGCCATGTGGATGGCATGTCCATGTGCACCTTCGAAGAAAGCCTTTATAAGATAGACTAGCTTTCAGGCAACACTTATTTAACTTACAGCATTGACAACTTTTGTATATTTCACAACTGCTGCTTGTTGTCACAGAATAAAATATGAGACCCGATAGTCTGGCACGGACCTTAATGCAAGCAAAAAGGTCCAAGGAATTGAAGCACTGGCACAAAGACAGGACAAAGACACAAGACAAAGAAGACAGATAAAGCTTTCAAACTTTTAAGTCGATTTAACAGCACAAAAAAGAACATTGAACAGCTACCTGTCTCCGAGGGCGCATGACTACACAAATGGATGTGCACCATGCATTTTGACCGAAATAAAGCAACGAATGTTTTGCTCAGCAGTGACAAGTTTATTTCTCGCACAACGAGACTGCAGTGACATTTGAGCGCTCATTCAATGGCAGAACAGACACAACAGCGGTTAAAGATAAAGGTAGTTATGAGTACTCTCACATCGATCACATCGTGATTCTGCCGAAGGTGCTTCCTTGATGATGACAACAAGAATCCTGCCAACACCATCTCGGAACGCTACAACACTACCGCTCTAATGCCCATGCCTTTTGGGCATGGACATCGTGGTGACCAGTCGGAACGAGGAGTGATTCCAGCACGACGGGGTGACACCGCACACGGCGCGGGCTTCACTGTTTTACATCGTCGCATGACAGGAGTCACCGGAAAGGTTTCCTCTGAATTTGCGGGAAAAACAACAGAAAAAAGAGTGAGCGTCCCTGTCGTGACAAAACCTGCGCGATGCTCCGCACCGCGCGGCAGCAGCCAAAGTGGCCTCAGCGTTAACATGGTCAAAGCAGCCCCTGGCACTCCATTAAAGGGGCGTGACGACGTGCGTCGCGCTCCCTTTTTCAGAAGTGGCCGAACTACAGCGGTGCGGGTGGTAGCTGGACGGCATCTCACGATTCCATACTACCCCCGCCCCCCCCCCC